AAGATGAAGACTTACTCTCTAAATTTTCTTCAGAATTTAAAAATATAAGAAGCTGTATTGGAACATTTGTGACTAGCCAATATCTAAGAGTTATGAATTGAAAATCTAATCCAATACTTAAATCAAAAGATATGAATCTTCCAGAGTTTCAGTAAAAATCAAAGGAAATGAAAATTATAGAAAAATTGAATGAGCTAATCAATTACTTAAAGATGAAGATAGACAAACTAAAGAATCATCAACTTTGTCAATTTCCTATCACACAACTTCGACGGTCTCCTTTTAAAAATTATTAATTAGATTATTCACTATCTGTACGCCAATATTAACTTGTAATAGTTGAAGGCCGATGAGCATTTCATATCCAAGTATCATAGGTAATGTGAAGGTCGATGCGGAAGTTCGCTTTGATGAAACAATTGCGAGGATCCGAATAACGGAAAAGTCTATAATGCCCCTTAACCAAATTTCGGTGGAGCAGGATCTTATTATTGGGGATTAGAAGGAGATGCAACTAAGACTAGATTCTCTTCTATTTAAGGGAAACTAGGTTGACCTTTGATAGCTTCGGAGGCTTGTTGTTGAACAATGGCTCAAGTGGCTTTAGATGCCACCATTGTTGAATATGAAGACTTCTTGGAAAAAAATGTTGAAGTTTGAGGAGGAAGATCAAGAAACGGAGATCTGAAGCTTTGAGAGAAGAGATATGGACTTGAAGTTTGAAGGAAATTAGAATGTGAAGATTGAGAAACGAAGATCTGAAGCTCTTCGAAAGGAGATATGGGTTTTTGGATAGGAGGAGATCTAAACATGAAGATCTATGAGAATCAGATTTCAATTTCTACAAACGGCATCACTTTTTGCTATTTTGTCTTAGAACCATATGTGTTTAATGAACAATTGAGTAGTGTTCCTTGCAGTGGACTTGAGTTTCTTGTACGGTGAAGAATGGACTAACCTGCTAGGCCAGTACTCTAACGCCAAATTCAGTAAAAGAATGAGAGGTGATATGAGAGAGAATATGAATTTGAATACAAGAGAATGACACGCTTTTCCTTTTAAATAGTGGAAACAAGTTAAACACAAAAAACATACAATGAGACTTGAATCGTGGTCAACCATCAAATTGATCTAGATAGACATTAGAGCTCTTAAAAACGAAAATACCTATTGAGGAGGAGGAGGAGGGAGACCACCTTCTCTTCGTGTGTGCTTCCTTTAATTTTATTTTAGGCCTTATGAACAACACAAAACAATAATAAAAAAGTAATATTAATTTAAACATTAGTGATGATAGAAGTTTTTTTTAGATAGAAGTTAAAATTATCGAATTTAAACTATATAATATAATAAAATAATATTAATAGATTGTAAATTTATTAATATATTTTAAAGGGGACAAAATTAATTGAGACATTATAAATTTATAAGATTATAATTTAGTACGTAATGAATCAGTGATGGTGGTAGTTGGTTGAGAGAGAAACAACAAAGTTAAATGAATTAGTGGTGGTAAGCATTGTTGCGTTATAATTAACTATGATATGTTCGGCCATCAACGATCAATGTTTTAAAAATCGAATTGAATTGTCTGATTAAATTGATTTAACCTTTAATTGTTATTTAATTTGGTTCGATTTGGATTAATAAATGGTTAGATTTAAAAAATTGGGATAAAATTACTTCAATCGCGAAAAAACTAAAATAATTGTAAAGTTAGAACCGATTTTAGTGAACCAAACGGTTCAAAAAAATAAAGATGTTTTTTTTAATATTTTACTTTATTTTATTTCTTTGTTTAAATCTAAAAAATAAATTATAGCAAATATTTAAAATTATATAGATGAAAAATACAGAATAAAATTGAAAGACATGAAATAATGTAAATGCAAATAGAAAGAGAAAAAATAATCTAATATTTGTGGACATGAGACAACTTATATTAGTTTTGGAAGAGATGTAAAAATTTATACAGATGAAGAACTTGTGGCTTTGAGTCAAATAGTTAGAACAAATATATAAATATTGATCTTTAACTAATTTTCTGATTTATTATTAAGTTTTACATTGCTTTCTTTTTTCTTTTAAGCTTGTTTATTAATATCATATTTATTTGAAATTTTTATTTTAAAAATTATGATTTGAAATTTTTATTTTAAAAATTATGATATAAATTAATTTTATTAAGATGTTTAATAATATATTTATTTATTTTCTTAGTTTAAATTTAATATATAATTTAACCACAGTTTAAGTGATTACAGTTTAAGTGATTAAACTTTAATCCACGTGTTTTAAGAGTTCTTTTTCCAATTTAATTTTTAAAACGTTGTCAACAACACGTGGTGAGAAAACTTGAAATTTGCATCAATACCACAAAACTAATAAACCAACAAAAAAATTGTGATTCACAATAATCTCATCTTAAACCCATTACAAATATTCTCACCATTCATATCCAACTACTAGTTAGATTCACAAAATTATCATCAATGACATAAAACTAGAAAAAAAACAGCAATAAAATTATGACTCACATCAATCTCATTTTAAACCCACTACAAGAATTCTCCATGAATTAAGATCTAGTCCCAAAACCCTCAAGCATGAAAACTTAATCTAATCACATAAAACTCATTAATACAATCTAGCACACATATCACATTTTTCTATCTTATTTTCTCAAATTCTCAAATTTTATATATTGAATCTACAATACCTTTGCATGGAAAGAGAGAATAATAGAATACTTTGAACTCTTTAGGAGTGAGATGATAATCCTAAATTTCATCCCATTAAGTTTTATTTTTCTTTAATTCATTTTTTTCTTCCACACATATCTGAGAGATTTCAATTTCACACATGCAAGGAAAGTAAATAATAGAACTTAACTGGGATTTAGAAAATTACCAAGGAAAACTCTAAAAAATTCGGTACTACCTTTAATTCTTATTTATTCTTAGTGGATTTTCCCTCTAATATGTTTCTTCTTCTAGATTTCCATAAAAATGTTACTCCAGCTCTTCTCTCAACCTCACTCCCACTCTTTCTCTCTCAAGTTTCCATATTTTCCTTCCATACTTTTTACTGTTATGGTAGAATATAACATTCATTTAGATGATTATTTGATTATTGCTGATATATAATAATTATTATAAAATCAACAACTATAAATATTTGAAAATAAACATGTAATAAATCACGTATATAATAAATCTAATATATTTAAAAAAATTATAAATATAACTAATTTTAATTTAAATAAAAAAAGTATTACAGTGTTAGTAACTCGTATATATACAGTGAAATTCATTCGTATGTATTAGATTATTCAATATAACTTAATTTTTACTGATATATAATAATTATAAAATAATTAATAACTGTAATTTTAACCCTATAAATCTCTTAACTATTGTTTCTCTCTCTTCTTCTTATTATTTTAATTATATTATTGATCTTTCAATTTACACTAAAGGCATGATTCCATACCTTTGTAACTTTGACCCTATAAATCTCTTAAGTATTGTTTCTCTCTCATCTTATTATTATTTTATTACTTATTGATCTTTCTAAAAGCAAGATTCCATACCTTTATAACTTTGACATTGTAAATCTCTTAACTATTGTTTCTCCCTTATCATATTATTATTTTAATTTGTTTCTCTCTCATCATATTATTATTTTAATTATTTATTGATTTTTCAATTTACACTAAAGGAACCAAAAGTATTTAATTTACACTAAAAGAACCAAAAGTATGTAATAATAGTAAAAGTAGTTAATCCTACCCCTATAGCATACTCTTGTAGAACAATTGTTCCAATTCAAACCTCCCATCAACGGAGTGATTAGGAAATATAACATCATACAAAAAAACAATAGTTGCATGAGTAATGCATCACAAAATTCACCTTAATAAATATGTCTAAAATGGTGAATAAAATCTAATATACATAGCAACACCGATTTTAGAAAAAAATTGTTATGCATGAAAATAATCATCCTATCATACCAAAATGGCAAGTGAATAAATTGGTTGAAAAATACATTGTCATGATAAAAGAACATGTTAATTGTTTTTAAGTACATGTAATAACAGTTGGAAAATGACTATGACTAATAAATTAGTAAAATCAAAATCAAAATTATGCTCAATTCACCATTAAGTATATAAACCATTTGAAGGGGCCATTATACACTCAACAATTTTCATTTTCACAATCCAAGACTTCTATTTCAGCATATTTAAAACTTTTAAGAGTAAAACCAACCCAAACAAAATATCAACAAATAGTTTATAGGCACCTACTATAAAAAAAATATCATCATCAATCTTTTAATATCAACCATTTTCATATGATTGTATTTCTCAAAATCACTTCATCAGCCATTTTTTAATTTAGAAATAACTTAACCATTTAGTTATTGATAACACAAATTCTCAATGAAAATTATTGGTATCAAGACTATATAAATTCAACTTATCACGACTTTATAAATTCAGCTATACAAATTCAGCTTATCAGCTTATCAAGACTATAAAAATTTCCAATAAAAATTGTTGTAACCAAGACTATATAAATTCAGCTTATGATGACTTAATCTGGTAGAAAGCTGAAAATAACTTTTTTCGTAAGCTGAAATTGTTGTACCAATGAATGTTAGTGGGCTATCAACTTTGAGTCATTGAGAACTTACAGTTACAAATTTTTTTCCAAAAGCGCACCATTTAGTCTACCTAGTGCTGATTCTGAAGCTAAAACACCAGAAACACCAGCAGAATGAATTGCTTCCAATAGCAAGTCTTGAGGGGTTTTGGAAGCTCACCAATCTCAGCCTTCAATTTCATAAGCTATATATAATTGTAGTATTAGTAACAACAGAAATGCTCCAAGTTTTACGCTAAACAATCAGTAAAATATATTCTACAAGTCCTCATAAGGATTCAGTAAAGATCCCTGCTCAATGACCTCCTAGAAAAGTAGGAACATAAGTCTTCAAAGCATCAAAAGTGTAGCCCATTTAGTTAGCAAATCCTTAAGGGGGTAAGGATTCTCTAATAGTAAGACCAATAGCTTGCCCAGAACAAATCCAACAGTAAGACCAATAACATAGTAACATGGCATGGCAAGTTTACATAACCCACTATATCCACTTCCAATTGCAATACCTGAAAATGTCCAAAAAAAAAATATATCAACTTCCAATTGCAACACCTGAAAATGTCCAAAAAAATATATCCACTTCCAATTGCAACACCTGAAAATGTCCAAAAAAAACTAGAGTTATATACAAACAAATATGCATTGCATGAATCAACAGAGCCAATTGAAAAGGAAAATAATATTTATTTAAGAGAAAGATAAGATGCCACCTGCAGACTTCTCCCCAATGTTGAAGAAATACAAAGTTATCCCTTGCTGACATAAATAAACTTAATATGTTACTGTAGATCATAAAAAGAATTCAAAACTACAAAATTATTTCTAAAATCAAGTTCTTTTACAAAATTACAATACACATTTTATACCACCAACATAAAGTTTGAAAAGCATTAGTGAGATTTTAATTACCAGCAAATTCATCATTAAGTACTAATGAATAATCAAAAGTGTTGTTGGAGTAAGATAAACCGAAACCAACGGAGCATCCAAATATAACATATTGGCTACTGTAATAGGTAGAAAATGCAAAATGAGTACAAAATTATGAAATTCTAATTAAAAAGTTAAATAGAGTTTAATAGGTTACTTCTGTTCCAACTATCAGGATTTTTGACGAGACCTCTGTTCTCAAAGATAGTTCCCCGTCCATAAGAAGAACATCCAGGTCCTTCAAAACACATGAAACATTTCATTAGATCTGTAATTACGGGATATAGAGTAATTAATTAATAATGGTACATTTACCTCCATTAATCCAGATAAGCACAGGTATAAAGAAATCTCTAATATCGAAGATTGAAGGTATTAATGAAGAACCATAACCGAGAGAATTTGTATCTTGCAGTAAAAGGGTATGAAATTAACATTAAAAAGGGAAAGTTGTCAGTTTCTCGTTCTCAAGGAATAAGAAGTCAATTAGGGAAAAATCTTATCTAGCTCATTCTACAGACGAGTCTTAATCAACTATTGCATCAACTATTGCAGAAACATCAAGATCTACAATAAACTCACCTGAAGTCTTTAGGAATGATGTGTCTCAAAGCTTCAATGGTGGGTCCTTTGAAGAGGGTCCCTTCAAACTCTATGTGAATCGTAGAGTAAAACTTTATAAGAAAATAGCAAGACCTTCTATCTTCTCGCAACACATTTAGTGCAAAAAAAAAAAACAACAGTTCATCATACATTTCCATAACAGTCCATGTACAGACATCAACCATATAAATTTGTATACATCACCGTCGTCATGAAAAACGAAAATACAACATACAATATTTATCTCAAATAAGTGAAAAGGCAGAACAATTCAAATAAGTGAAAAAACATAACAAACCAAATCAAAAACACACCTAAAACAGGTTATTTATGGAAGTGGGATAAAGAAAAGGGTTGTTGAGATCATTAAATAAGTAGTGCAACCATTGGACTTTGTAGGCTAAGCTAGCGAGGGCCCAATATTCTGCTTCAGAGCTGATCCTTGAGACCTTATTTTGTTTCTTTGACTTCCATGAAATCAATGATGTTTCTAGAAAAACAATATAGGCACTTATGGATTTTATGGAAATGGGACAAGTGGTCCAATCTGAATTTGTGAAACCGGATAAAGGAAAGTTAGTAGAAGAAGAGTAAAATAAACTAGTACCTCTAGCGGTAGAAATGTTTAAGACTAAGCCATTAGATTGACTAGACTTTATAGAAATCAAAAATAAAAATCGCCACCGTGCTTTATTGTTTCCAAAAGAATGGGAAAAGAGCAATAACCCAAAAGAGGGGAAAGATTCAAGGTAATGGGGTTGGTTATGCAAATGGAAGGTATTAGTACCCTAAACATCTACGGTACTCCGCAGGAACTTCTTTGAAAAATCTGTATATTTTGGCTATATAAAATGTGTTGTATGTAAAATGGATGGTGGAGGTGAGAAAAGAAATATATTTTTTATGATTTTTGCACCCGCCGCGGTTGCGAACCTTTAGTGGCTACGTACCACCTTTCGTGCAATAGAGGATCAGGGTACACATAGTTCCTCTTTTAAAAGTTTGAAACACGAGTGTGTTGGTTGATTTTAAGAGATAAGACATCATCGTCATTGTCCGTGTAGAAAATATACTTACTACCCACAATCATGAGAAATGAGAATTTGCATCATCTCAAAATGGAGGATAATGGCTTGAATTTTAAAATCAACAATGCCTCACTCAACACCCAAGTGGAAAATATCTCACTTCACTACATATTGTAGAAGTATAGTTGCTTGCATCACTACAAGGATTGACAAGAGTCTAATCTTTTGAGAAAAGTTTTAAAGATAAAAGCCAAAGTGGCAAAATGGTTTCAAATGAGATCGATTGACTTTTAGTCTTTCTCACAAAAATGTCAAGGTATTATTAAGTTGATTGGAGTTTATTTATGAAAAGATTTTGAAAATGCATGGACATAAGTCCAAGTTTATTATGAAAGTATTTCAAGTTTAGAAACAAGAAGAGTTTAAAAAGGAGGTAGAACATTTTTGAAATTAAAGAAGATGGGAGAAGAAGAAGAGACTATCCTAAAGTATAAAGTAAAAGCTAAGGATAAGGGCCATCTAACCAACAAGAATCCAAAACTTAACATTATGAGCCAAGATAGAATTCTCATTCTTTGGATTGGAACCAATCAAGCAAAGATACTAGACCTCTTCAAGTGTATTAAGTCTTCACAAAAATTGAGCAGAGTAACAGCTGTATACGGATGAATTCCAGATTACAAACAAATGATGTAATCACAAAAAACCTGCACACAAAAACAAACAAGCAACCCAGTGTCTTGAGATAAACCTCAAGAGCTCCAGACAAAATAATCAGATAAGATCACAAGGTCTCCAAGATAGGCCAAGGTTTCTAATCCTAAGTCCAAGAAAAAGTCTCATACTCCATAATGCCAAGGATAGTAACCAAATAGTCCAAGTACCATTAAAAGTTTTTTAGGGTTTATGTTGATTATTAAGTATCTTAGGAAGAGAAAAAGAAAAGCTCAAATGAGCAAAATAAAAATGGCAAGAAGATAAATGCTCAAATGAGCAAAGATGAAAATGACATGAAATGAAAAATGCTAAAAGATAAATAGTACATAAAGCATAAAAGAATAAAAGCATAAAATAAACAAGTCAATAATTAGTGGTTAGTTGGATGACCATCTTGAAACTTGCATTTGGAACTCATTAGAGGATTGGTAGAACCAAAGCCTTCACACAACAAGTTGCATTTGCTTTTTGTCAAGTATACCATCCATTTGGAATTCTCATAAGTAACATTTAATGATCAACGATGTTTAAGTGATCCGCGTTGACCAAAAGTGTTGTAGATCCATTAGAGGATTGGTAGAACCAAAGCCTCCACATAATGAATCTCAAGGTTATTAGATCAAAGAGATCAAATTAACATACTTGGGCTTGCAATCATAAGTTTGGGTCACGAATGATCATTTATTCGAATCGGGACAAAATTTAGCGCTATGTTAAGCAATCATAAGTGGACTTATATAGAAGTCGCACCTATTTTGAGGCCGGTCAATAGCAATCTATGCACCATTTGTTTTGAGACATGATATAGAGATCATGCTCCAACAACATTTAGTGCAATGAGAAGGGGACGAAATGAAGAGGAATTAGGGTAAAAAGAGAAACCACATTTGAATTAATATTTAATCAAACTATTATTAAAATCATTCATCCATTTTATGGAGTTAAACTCAACACCATGGATCCAATGATGTTAATAAAGCCATGACCAAAAATCAACCCAAGACAACCAGAAAATAATCACAAAATAATAATATAATTAATAAATAGATTAAAAGGTTTAAAAATGTTTTAAAAAAAGGAAAATAATGAGGAAAATGTTAATTATATTCAAATTAATCAAGAAATGAAAAATAAGACCATAGAAAAACCAGAAAAGAGGCCAAGTAATTATATAAAATTTTTGGTAATTTTTAAAAGTCAGAAACTATTTTTAAAAATTAAAATAAATGGATAAAATAAACAAAAATAGTAAAAAATAGTAAAGTCAGAAACAAAAATAAAATAAGGTCACCAATATTTGTCACAATACCATTGGATCATTCCATAATTTTTTCAGAATTTAAAAATGTATAAAAGTATTTTTAAACATTTTAAACAAATAAAATAAGTGTAAAATTTATAAAAAATACCAAAACACAAAATTAAATTCTGAAAAAATAAAAATCAGAAAGAGAATGATCAAAAATATTTTTCATAATTTTTTTGGATTAAAAATGAATTTTCTATGACTTTTTGAAATTTAAAACAATTAAAATATAAAAATCAGAAAAAGAAAATAAAAGTAAAAGATGTGGACCATTGGATGAGAGTCAAAACGCGTTAGTAATCAAATCCAAGGGATCTGGCGCACTGTGCATATCATGGTCTTTAATGAATAATGTACAGAATCAATAATAAAATCAGAATTTGAAAAATACAGATGGCGCGCCTTCATTGGTTAGAAGATGACACGTTGGTCATCTTCAACCTCCAGCCATCACGAATTGCAGGTCTATCAATCTGTAAAATCAAAAGCTCAGACCTATGCCATTCACTTCGTTTCTTCAAGACGAAGACAACCATACCCTCGTGCCAAATTTATATAAACTGTAGCTCAAGCAATTTGGAAAGAAAGTTTTGAAAAGGGATTTGAAAATTCATGGTCAAAATGTGTTTCTAGTAAAGTTTAAGTGTTGCGACTAGAACCAGGGCAATGAGAGCAACATAATGATATCAGAGTTTTGAAGAATTGATGGAGGAATCTACCTATTGAAGTTGAGTTGCAGAGCTCTGAAACTAGACTTCTATGGAGCAGTATAGGGCACGATTCTTGAATGTAATTATATGGTTAGTGTTGTACCCAAAAATTTGCCCTCTCATTTATCAAGATTTTCCTTACAAGACTTCTTGGACTCAAGACAAGATTAGGGTTTGGTCAGCTCAAGACATCACCTTGCACTGATAACCCAAAATTAGGGTTTGAATTTGCACAAGGATTTTTGGACCATCAATGCTTTATGTGACTTTCATACACCATCTTGGACCCCTAATATTTGCTCATGTTAAGTTTCAAGCCTTGAACCACACTTTTGCTCAGTCAATTGGACAGTTGACCTAAAAATCAACTGTATTGGGGAAAAAGTCAACCATGGCCAATTTACAGTCAAACTTCATAATTTCTGTTCCACAACAACATTTTAGACTCATATGTATCATTTGATCAAGTTTGGATCACAACTCCTCAAGAAATTTGATCAAATCATCAAAAGGGCAAAATGGTCAAAATTAGGGTTTTGACTAAGAAAGGGCAATTTCTGATTTTTTAACCTAGCCAATGACCAATTGGGTTTAAACATGATTTCAAGGACTCAATGGCATCATCTTGAA